ATGTCTGTCTCTATTTCTCTTTCTGCTTGTATCTCTGTTTGTCTCTCTCTCTTATCTCTTTTTTCTCTTTCTCTCTCTTTCTGTGTGTCTGTTTCTGTCTCTCTAATTCTCTTTCTGCTTGTATCTCTGTCTGTTCTTCCCCGCTTTCTCTCCACCTCTCCCCCTATCTCTCTCTTTCTATGTCTCTGTCTGTTTCTGTCTCTCTATTTCTCTTTCTCTCTGTATTTCTGTCTGTCTGTCTCTCTCTCTCTTTATCTCTATCTTTCTCTCTCTTTCTGTGTCTTTGTCTGTCTCTGTCTGTCTGACTATTCGCTCTCTGTCTCTGTCTATTTGTCTTTCCCCCCACCTCTATACTCCCTCTCTCTCCCTCTCTCCCTCTCTCTCTCCCTCCTTCTCTCTCTCTTTCTCTCTCTCTTTCTGTGTCTTTGTCTGTCTCTGTCTATTCGCTTTCTGTCTCTGTCTATATCACCTCCACCTCTATACCCCCTCTCTCTCTCTCCTTCTCTTCCTCCCTCTCTCCTTCCCTCCCTCCCTCTCTCTCTCTCTATCTCCCTCTCTCTCTATCCTGTTACAGTTCGGAGAGTTCGAACGGAAGTGGATAGTCACAAAATTTTTACTATTTTCGTTTCCTTTTTAGTTTTGTTTACTTTTCTTTCTTTTCTATTCATTTTTTTTTTCACGTCCTTACATGCGACATCCTGACATGCGACAAAAGAACATTCTAGTTTGCGATTACCAAAAAACAAAAGAAGTATCTCCTTTGGTCGGTTAATTTTTTTTTTTTTATTATTAATTCGCAACGAAAAATACACCTCCAAATCGGACTGATTTAAGGGGTTCCAGAAATTCTTTTTTTCCTTTTTTTTTTTTTTATTTGAAGCAATTGTCTTTCTCTTTCTCTTTCTCTCTTTCACTGTTTTTTTTTTTTTTTTTTTTTTTTGGTTTGTTAATTTTTTGTTTTTGCTTTTTTGATTTTGAATATTTTAAATGCTATCGATTGCTTCGCTGATATTGATCGTTGTAGTCGGACCTCCTCGAGAAATCATTCCCTGATCTCCCGTCAGTTCTCTCGGCCCAGTTCCCGCGCCGAAAATCAACCTGTCCCTTTTCGGTTGGATGATTGTCATTACGCCTGTTGTTATTCCTTAAATGTATCAATAATAATACGAGCAGGCTTGTGTCCGGTGTAGGTGGATGCATACTGTTCGCATTGATCGATCGTCGCGCGTAGGCTGGTGAAGAATGTTGTCTATGTGCTAATGTCCCAATACAGGACCCACTGCGGGGCTCAGTACCGATCAGGTTGGTGCTACTGTTAATACCGCTTGCTATATAAGGTTCAGACTGGTCAGAGGTGGAAGTTTTGTGACGGCTTCGTGTATGCCCCATACTGGTACCTTTTCTTCCCCACCCCTGTTTTGTTTAATTTTCTTTGTTTGTAATAACAGCAAGAGATTTGAAAGAAGCAGATAGCAACTAGCCAAAATGGCTGAATGGTAGACAAGAAAAAAAAAACGATTATTTTAACAATTTTTTTTTCCGTTTAAAATATGTAATTACTCGGGTCGAAACTGACTCATTGATTATTATATATTGCTATTTCGACGAGAAATCGAACAACTATATTCAGGTGAGAATCGTCAACCAGCAAGCGATCAAAAACCATAGGAAATTTTATCGATTAGCGAGTAGAATTCGTCCTCTAGTAATTATTGTATTCTTACGTTCCGTTTCTCAGTGATTTCTTCTCGACGTTCAAATTCCGTTTGTAGCGCACTGTGAGTTTCCCATTGTTATTTATTTCGATTCAAGTTTTGAATTCTACAAGTTGCTTACCGTATCTGCTTCCGAATACTATATAAAAGTATTAGTTTCCTGATTGCATCGTTGAAAAAAAAAAAGATAAACAAAAAAAAAAAAAAACACTCGATGTCACTATTTGTAAAGAGAAGGTTGTGTTTAATATCATTCTATGTGCGTTGTTACATTCTTTGGGTAGATTGGAAATTTAGTACGCATTTTAGATTCTTTTCTCTCGCAGACAAGTTCTTACTCCTTCTCTTTCTTTATACATAAATACATACATGTATACACGACAAAAAGTTTGAAGCCACCCCAGAATTAGCAGGGAATAAACTGGGCAGAGAAATATGAAAAAGAGCTCTTTGAATAAAGAGTCAATTATCAAACTTTTCTTTGAGAAATTTTTGCAACAAATACAAAAGAATATATGCTGCAGTAATCAAGGCTAAAGGAGGATATTTTGACGGGAGCTAAATTGAATCATAAAATGTTTTTTTTTTTTCCTGATATAATTTCTAATAAAAAAAATCATGTCTCACTTTTTTTTTAAATCATGCAGATTAATTTACTCTTATTTGAAGTAAAAATCAACTTTTGGGCCAATTTAAAAAATTACCATGGAATTCTTCAAATTTTTGAACTGTAGTGTATGTATATATATATATATATATATATATATATATATATATATATATAGGAATAGGAATAAAATGAGACAAGAGAAAAAACTATTCTTAGTCGACGTGTTTCGTCCGCTGAGGGACTTTATCAATGCTATGATTTTTATTCATTTTCTCCTCTAAATTCAATATACACACTATCTGAGAATATTTGCTTATATATATATATATATATATATATATATATATATATATATATATATGTGTGTGTGTGTGTGTGTGTGTGTGTGTGTGTGTGTGTGTGTGTGTGTGTGAAAAGTGTGTGTATATAAATAAATATATATATATATATATATATAATTATTTATATATTATATGCGCGGTACTTATTAGAAAACGCTCAATATCAGACCAAATATATATATATATATATATATATATATAGAGAGAGAGAGAGAGAGAGAGAGCGAGTATATTTAGACAGAAAATGTTCTTTAAGGCAAATGTTATTAAAGACTGCAGATGTTTTGTTTCCATTAATTTTATTGATCGTCTTTTCCAAATCGCGAATAATCCTTCTCAGATAAGGAGGAAATTCCGTTAGAAATTGACCAAATTTCATTTGGGAAGAAATATGGCCTAAGCTTTCGATTTTCTTAAGTCATCAACAGGCTATGTAGAGACGAATGGTGAGTTTCCTAGAGCTGGTGAGGGTAGATTGTTGTGACGTTGGTGAGGGTAGATTGTTGTGACGTTGGTGAGGGTAGATTGTTGTGACGTTGATGAGGTGTGATGTATGTGAAAATGAACTTTGGATAATTTCTGACAGAACTTCCACATTATCTGTAAAGTATTATTCGTAATTGGGAATGTGTGTGTATAGTGATTTTCCAAGCGTAGCTCAGATGTGGCACAAGGCCGAAAGTATGGGACACACAGTGAGGATCGAACTCACTACTCAGTCGTAATTGTTCTAGCGAGACAAGCTTGCTAACCATTACACCACCTCGAGGTGCCCAAATGTGTGTGTGTATATGTGTGTGTGTATGTGTGCGTGCGTGCGCGTACATAAAACGTAGTCCAATGTTAATAATACATAACCTTCAAAAAATCCCGGTCTTCTCAAGTTCTTTGGCATGACTATCAGTTTTACAATGTAAACAACCCAACACTTGTCCTAAACTTAAATCTAACACCTTCAATATTTTCTAAAGCTGTTTCCAGCATAACAGAGAGACACAATGCAAATAAGAAAGGCGCAAGACCGTCTAGGGTCTGATGATAAACATTCGTGTCCTGGGTAAGACGATAAACTACATCCGACAGCAAGGCCTTTGATCAGAAGCATGGAACTACCTCTTAATTGCTGGTGTTCCCAGGTCCACCCTGATCCGGGGTGGTAGCACGTGTCAGGGTCCCAGATATGGGCAAATAGTTACCTCCCACCCCAAAAATGGCCAAATCACTATGAAATTATAAAAATAGATTTTACTACCAGCAATACCTTTTTGGAAAATTATTACCAGCAGTACATTTTTGAAAAAGAAAAATATTATCAGCAATAAATTTTTTGGAAAAAATATTACCAGCAATAAAAAAACTTGTCGGCTTTAAATAACCCATTGAGGTTCAAATGCCGTAAAACATACCAAACCAAAGGTGCAAGAATACACGCACACACATATATATATAAATATATAGCAACACTCTGCGGCTGCTAGGTCTCACATTGTCTGCTGACCTGAGATGGAACAAATACATTGAGTCAATTGCTTCTTTCACCGCAAGGAAAGTTGGCTCCCTGTGCCGCGCCAGGAAATTTTTCTCCCCGGAATCGATCCTCCAGATCTACAAATCAACAATTCGCCCTTGCATGGAGTATTGCTGCCATATATGGTCTGGAGCCCCTTCTGTTTGCCTCGGGGTTCTTGATAGGCTCCAGAGGCGGATATGCAATATAATTGGCCCTGATCTGGCATCTCGTCTACAGTCACTTTCTCACAGACGCGCCGTCGCCTCTCTCTGTCTGTTTTACAAATACTTTCATGCCAATTGCTCCGAGGAGCTACATTCGCTGGTTCCCAGACTTCATGAGTTCAGGCGCCCTACGAGGCTGGCACCCCGCTCTCACCCTTTCACTGTCGAAACTACTAAATATAGCCGTCTCTTCTACTCTAATAGCTTCATGTCTCGCACCTCTCGCCTGTGGAACTCCCTTCCCTATTCCAGTTTCCCTCAGAGCTAAAATCTCCAGCTATTCAAATGTAATGTCAGTCGACATCTCCAGTTGTTTTGATCTATCCACTATCCTTCTCCTCATCCTTTCCTCTATCACTCCTATCTGATCTTGCTCCAAATTTTCTGTAACCCCTTGCGTCCTAGTGGCTTCCCGCCTTGCTTGGGGTGAAACGCTTAAAAATATATATATGTATGTATGTGTGTGTATTTTAGCGAAAAACTATGACAAAATGGGGAAGTTTTCGTGTGACGCGTTTCGTCGTTCAGAAGAAAGAGGCAGTCTCCTCCAGATGATCTTTTGGCAGTGACTCTCAGGAGTTACCGGCATTGTCATGGCCGTTCACACTTTGAAGTTTTCCGACCAGCTCTTACGTTACCGCCCCAACAGCGCCTTGCATGATGGTCCTGCAGGGGCTTCTATGCCATCTGATATACCCAAACCATACCATCTTCCAACGCTTAATAGTGGCGAGGAGGGATTCCTGTCGATACTTTTGACCTTGCTTCGTACATGGATCATTGGTTTTCTGCTCTCAGTAGGAGATGCGGAGGAGCTTTTTCCTGTTTCAGTTAGGAGTGTCAAAGTATCAAACCCGCAGAGGATGATGGATACGACCAACAATTTGTAGAGCTTGAAGTTTGTATGAAAGCTGATGTTTCTTTTACTTATCCTTTGACAGCCTGACCATCACTGCTGGGGCTGGGGCTATCCATGTGCGGCTTTCTGGGTTACAGTTGCGATCTTTTGACAAGGCTGCTCCCAAGTATTTCAAGCTGGACATATCCTACAATGGTTTGCCATCCAGGGTGACGCTGGCACTGATGCTGCTTCTGCTGTTAACCATTGCTTTTGATTCCTCTACGCTTAGTTCCAGTCCATATTCCATTATTTATTATTATGTTGCAGACGGAAAACATTACTTGAAGTTCTAACGCAGTGTTTCTCAAATGGTACGTCCTGGAAGATATCTAGGTGCCTCCTGGCATTCCAGAGAAATATGTGCCCAGATATAAGAAATAAATATATTTACTCTATTATAT